TTACAATTGTCTGTTCCCTAGAAGAGTAGTGTTAATATCTCCTCAGTGTAGTGTAGAAGTTCAAGATCTGGAGTGATCACCTTAATCTCCAGTACTTCCAGGCACCTCAGAAGCTCAACCACTGTTAGGCCTGCTAGATGTTAGAACTGTAGAACTACAACTTTGTGCTGACTCACAAACCTAGAACACAAATGACAAAAGCTGATTTACTCTTGAGACAAGTAGGTCATAAAAGGGGGGAGAATGATAATGAAAATCTTGTTCTCCTAGACAATTCCTGTTTTGTGTCCAAGACAATCCAAGAGATCCAACTCAAATCTGAGGATGTTGACTTTGTCACCTGTATACAGTAAGCTCTGAGACACATACAGGACCAGGTTGTAGTGAAGTAACTAGAGAAGCAGGTTAGGGATTGGGAGGAGGATAAGGATGGACAGGTTTACTAGGAAGGCTGACTGTATGTTCCAAAGGATTAGAAACTGTAGGAGGACATTGTCTGAGCTCATTATGACAATCTGACTACAGGACATCTGGGCTAACACAAAACACAGGAACTTATCACTCAGAACTACTAGTGGCCCAGAATGTAGAGGGAAATCCTGAAGTATGTAACTAGTTGTAATATGTGCTAACAGACTAAGACCTACTAGACAAGGGTTCAGGCTCCCCTACATCTGTATCAGATCCTGGATCACCCTTAGGAAGAAGTCTCAGTAGACCTGATTGGTGAGCTACCTGAGTCTTAGGGTTACAACACTATCTGTATGATTGTCAACCAATTCTCTAAGCAAGTCTATGTGGTTCCAACCCAAACAGAACTCACTTCCAAAGACATAGTGTGTATTTATCAGGATCATGTCTTCCAGTTGTATAGACTCCCTCAGAAGCTCATTCATGATTACAGACTGTAATTTGAGTCAAAATTCATACAGGACTTGTATACACTTCTTGGAATTTAAGGGAACCCTTCCACTACCTATCACTTACAGACTAACAGTCAAACTGAGTGAGTCAATCAGGAGATCAAGCTCTACCTCTAGATGTTTATCAATCATCAGTAATCAGATTGGTCTGAATAGCTAGCTCTGGCAGAATTTGTACACAATAACTAGTAACACTCTACAACAGGACAGTCCCTGTTCTTCCTCAATCATGAGAGACATTCATACCAGGGGACAGTTCTGAACTAGAACAGTAGTTCTGAATCTGTAACAGACTTTGTAGAACAGATGCACAGAACCAGGGAGGATGTATGAGCTCTTTTGGAAAAGGTAGTGTAAGTCATGAAGCAGAACTATGATTGGAAGAGGTCTGCAGCCAAGGATTACCAGCCTGGTAACAAAGTTATGCTGGAAGCTACTAACCTGACCATGGATTGCCTAATGAAGAAGTTGGACAACAAGCACTTTGGACCCTTTGTTATTGAAAAGAAGGTTAGTGCCTCTACCTACAAACTCTAACTTCCAGCAACATAGAAGCACATACACCCAGTGTTTAACAAGGTTCTACTGTCTCAATACTATGATCTGAGTTTTCCTTCACAACAAAGACCCCCACCACCTCCACCAGAACTCATTGGTTCTGAACCAGAATACAAAGTAGAATACATAGTAGATGCTAAGCTGGTGTATAGAAAGCTCAAGTTCCTTATTTACTAGAAGGGATACCTAGTTGAAGAACACACTTGGGAACCTGCTGAGAATCTCACCCATACTACTAAGGCAATCCAAGACTTCTATTGACTTCATCTGGGTGCTCTACATCAACTCTGCCTCACAGATTTCCAAACCCTACTGTTCCAACCTATGCCTGAGCTACTGACCAAGCCTAATGCTTACTAATCAGGATGATTGGTTTTAGAGGGGGGGTGATGTTACAGTTCTCTGCTCTTGTACCTTTAGTTCTAAGGGTTCTACACCCTTCTGTACCAGAACTCAGGACTTCTGTCCCTCAGGGGCACTGTCTATAAACTATATGTGTGCTGACTCTTGCCACTACCCTTCCTTACTTCATCATTCCATTCCTTTGACTACCCCTTCATTCTTTGTATCATTCTATAGTCTCTTACCCTTTATCCATCCCTTCATTCTTTGTACCTTTATCTTTGACATTCCTTTCTTTC